TGCAGCAAGCAGTATGACAAGGCTTGCAGGCTCAAGATCCACCTGCGGAGCCACACTGGGGAGAGACCTTTCCTTTGTGACTTCGATGGCTGTGGCTGGAACTTCACCAGCATGTCCAAACTCTTAAGACACAAGAGGAAGCACGAAGACGACCGCAGGTTCACCTGCCCAGTAGAGGGCTGTGGCAAGTCCTTCACCAGGGCCGAGCACCTGAAAGGCCACAGCATAACCCACCTGGGCACGAAGCCTTTCGTGTGCCCCGTGGAAGGCTGCTGCGCCAGGTTCTCTGCTCGCAGCAGCCTCTATATCCACTCCAAGAAGCACTTGCAGGACGTGGGTGCGTGGAAAAGCCGTTGCCCGGTCCCCACCTGCAACAAACTCTTCACGTCCAAGCACAGCATGAAGACCCACATGACCAAAAGGCACAACCTCGGCCAGGACCTCTTGGCCCAGCTCGAAGCTACCAACTCTCTCACACCCAGCAGTGAACTCGCCAGCCAGGGGCACAGCGATCTCAGTGGTGCCGAGCTCGTGTCTGTCTTCCCGGATGTGCCTGGCCACAGTTCTGCTGCGGTGCTGGACACGGCCTTGGTCAACTCTGGCATCTTGACTATTGATGTGGCCTCTGTGAACTCCACCCTCGCAGGAAGCCTCCCTGCCGATAATAATAATAGTAGCAACCATTCCTTAGGGCAAGCGGTGGACCCCCGGGCCTTGAGGGGGGGCCCCAGTGACCTTCCCCAGAGTCTGGATACCTCTCTCTTCTTCGGAACCTCGGTGGCCGGTTATCAGCACAGCCCCTTAGACATGGACGATGTCTCTGCTGGGAATGTGGGGCTCTTTGGCTCCTTGGCTCTGAAAAACTCAAGCCTGGAGACCCAGGCTTTGACACCCAGCAATAAGTTAACCGTGGACACGGAAGCTCTGACTCCCTCCAGCACCCTTTGTGAAAACAGTGTCTCCGAGCTACTGACCCCAGCCAAAGCCGATTGGAACGTGCACCCCGAATCTGACTTCTTTGGGCACGAGGAAGAAACCCAGTTCGGATTCTCCCATCCAACAGGAAGCCATGGGTCTCAGAAAGAGACAGATCTTATCACGGTGACCGCCTCCCCGTTTTTGGTATGAACCGACTCTGCCTGTTCCCTGCCTGACCTGTGGCTCACTTTTTTTTTTTTTTAAATCACACTCAAATGTGAGAATGTTCTGGAAGGAGTGCTTGCGTTGCTTGCCTGCAGTTGTTTCTTGCTGCTTTGCAAAGGAGCGCATCTCTGGACTACCAATTTAGGGATTTCAATTCTCATCTTGAGTCTGGAACTGATGAGTTCTCTGACT